GCCGCAATATGTACGAACAATGCCATTGCGTTTACTTTTCTGCAAAGCACATATGCAGCCAATCATCGCGTTGCTCCTAAATAACATAGTGATTAACTAGATCGAGAACACGATTCTCCATACAAATGCAATCTTTCCAGGTGGTATCTTCGCTCGAAGACCTTTTCCCTGTCCTGTAAACCGCTATTATCGTGCTGTTGACCACGGTGATTGGCAATCCGGATGCTCCGCGGAAAAGCGAACCCTCAAGTTTTCTTTATACCGTATTTTCCGGACTGTAGTCCGCACCCGGTGTATAGTCCGCAGGGGGAAATTTGGGGTCAAAAATAGAAGCTTTTGCTTAGATAGCCCGCACCCGGTGCATAGTCCACACCTGGTGCTTAGTTGACACGAAAATATTCTCATAGACGGCACACGTTTACAAATGTCTGCTTTTTAGCTCACAATAAAGCCTATAATGTGCATAAATCATCATTAACATACACTTTCATGCACAAAATTCGTCACGTCTCGTCATAATAAACGATCTTGAAAAACATAATTCCTGTATAGTCCGCACGCGTAGATAGTCCACTCAGCCAGAAATTTCAACTTTTAAACATGTATAGTCCGCGGACTATAGCCCGGAAAATAGGTAAACATTACGGCTATTACTCGTGTGAATACAGTAGAACGCCAATGATTTTATTAAATGTTTTTTTCCCCAACAGAGTAATATTATATCTAAAATGTTCAGTTTCTTTGTAGTAAGTAATCTTGTCATCGTATTGTGATAAAAAATACAGGGTCCTCTTTACTCCCAAAATGAATGTTAAAAGTATTCTAAACATACTGAAACTATGGCTCCTGCATCCCAAGCGTTAAGGGACTTCAGAGAAAAGAGTCGCTGCCTATTTACACATTTTTGGAAAACCGGAGACGATGGACGGGGGAAAAAAGGAACAACACACAAAATGTCCGTCGTCTCCGGTTCTTGAAAAAATATGTAACATCAACCAGCTCGCCTGCTTAGTCACTTTATGTGCAAGTATTGTAGCGTTTTCTGAGGGGAAAATTCGATCTCAGTAATATTGCAAAATACACACTTTCATAAACGAAAAACATTAAATGTAGAGTTGGGTCAATAACAATATTGCATACAATATCGAAGCATAATATTAACAAAGTGAATTAAAGAACAGTTATTCAATAAATAGTATTTTGACATATATTTCGCATTGACCTATTAAAGTGACAAAAAAATGATTCGAGAATTGATTTCCAGCCTGTGTTCTAGTCCTGAATCGTAAGGCGTGAATCGACCCCAATTAGCACCGAGATGTTTGGGTAGAGCCTTTATATCATTTGCCTTCGTGACGCCACGACCAGGATTTGCCTCACCGTGATTAGCAGAACTTGCCTCACCGTGAATCAGCGATTAGGCAGGCATTAATCAGTATACAGGAAGCCTTGCCATGCCAATCTCGAACTTCGACCACAGCGAGGCTTTTGGTCACGCACGTCACTAATAGCAGTTTTTATGCGCACAAAAGAGCGGTCCGAGCCGCCCTTTGTTTTGTTTGTTTACTCTTTCAAAACTCGTAATTGTCCCAATATTCTAAACGAGAGGAAATGATGCCCAGGCATAATCTTATAAGTATTCAACGTTATAACGAACGACGTATTTGCAGGACCTAAACTCATTTAAAAAAAAATCAGATTTTGAATTCCATCCCGGAGTCAACGACGCAGATGGTGAGATGGTGCACAATTATTGCCGTTTTGGATGACTTCGAGCCGTAAGTGTCGTTTACCTTTCTCTCTTCTTTCCCTCGCATTGATCACGGCCATCATGGTGAAGAGGAAAACGACGTTTGTTAGACTTTGGTGAGCGACTTGTGGTATGAAAGTTGAAACAAACTTCTTGATCGCTCGACAATTGCTCTCTCGATGTAAAAGATTTCACGCTCCGTGATTTGCAATTCGTTCTTTTGCGTTTTTATTGAAAAATGCCGCATTTTCATTGGCTGAGTGGGAATATTAAGATGTTAAAAACTCGCCACGCTCAACGTTTTTTTTGTTTTTTTTTTAATTTGTCAGTGACTATGTGCTCTTCACGCGTTACGTTTAAATGTTCAAGGTACGGGTGGAGACTAGTAGATTCTGCTGGTTGTTTCTATACTTTTAAAGCTACGCTGATGTAAAATTGGAACATAACTTATAGTATTAAAAAAGAAGCTTTTTTTTCTCTTGTGAGCTTTTGTTGCGAATTTCTGCAAACCTTGACGTCAGCCTCAAACAGGGATAAAGCAGCTGGGCATTTGTGCCAGCTCCGCATGATCTCAATTTACAGCCCTGGCAGAGAAACGTCGGTCGTTCGGAAACCACGACGGAAGCACCCGTGCATGACAGCTGCTTCACACGTGCTGCTCTCGGGAAGGAGATGGGTGCTCTTTTTATTTTCTACTTCTGATTTTTCTCGCAATGCGACAATAATAACGTTTCCCTCAATAAAACCTTAATAACCCGAAATATCTATTTTAATAATAATAATAGTAATCTTTAATAACTAATTCTTAGAGTCAGGATAAAGTTCCAGGTCTTGTCAAAGCCTCAAGGGCTTGTGGGACTAGACCCAGCAGTTGCAGCAAGCTTATTGAAAATGTTCACATTGTCACGTACACACACTCACACACACACACGTACAAACACGAATCACACACCGATGACATCTGCTCCAGGCGCAAGTTCACATTTCTGTCGGTCTTGAAAAAGTGCAGGAAAACACGTAGTCTCATCAGAAAATAAAATGTGTTCAAGCGTGCTAATATAATTCCTTGCGTTTTTTTTCATTAAGCCGAATTAATATTAATCAAGCAGCAGTGGGGAGAGAGGAAGAGAGAGAGAAGACTAGATAAAGAGTACTAGTCATGACATTAAAGTCTCGTAATGCTACTATTATTCCATACTTGAAAAATAATACACGTGCGGAGTCAGCAAATTTCCTCTAGTGGTGTTTTTCCGAATGCTTTCCCCGACAAATGGAGCAACCTAAAAACTATAATGAACTGAATAATATAGGCGCCCATAAAAGTTTTTTCTTTCTTTCTTTTTCTTTTTTTTTTTTCAGTTCCAACCCTATTCCCATCTTTTGTTTATTTATTTTTTTCACGAATTAGTATATCAGCTTTGAATGCAAGTTTACCTCTTCGTGTTAATAAACAAAATATTCTCTTCAACATTTTGTTCACCTGAAACGTGACCTTATCCTTCAGAGCGCTGCGTTCAATTTCTCATAAAGTTCGTAGTATATCCTGATGCAATTAGGTTACAAGGCTTCAAATTTGTATAAAGGGGCACGGAAACGAAATACCAGCGCTCATTTTTTAGCTTTAATGTGTTCCATGTTGAAGCATAATCTCAAAAATACCAGTCTTTTGTTGAAAGGCACAAGAAAACTAATTTTAAAGCTAATTAAACGGTCTTTCAATGTGCACCTGATGAATGCATGTGGAGCCCATTTGGGAGGTAATCTAGCAACGTTGGGAAACTTGCTACGTTGTCATGACGTAGCAAGTTGCATCGGAGCAGCGACGCGCTTTGGAATTCGGCATTTTTTTTTTAGCTTTTCTCGACTCACAAATCGCGCATTGTATTAAACAGTTCGAGAAGACGGAAAGGAGGGACTCCCCCCTTGCTTGGACTCTCGTTTGTGTGCCCGGACACAGCCATTCTCCCCTTAGAAGATTAGCCCGTCGCTCAAAATTTGGACAAAAGTTGCTTTTCCCACCCCGTTCACCCCTAAGCTAACAGTGCTGTGGAAACTACGTGCTCCTTGGGCCAGCCACACGCTCGTCACCCTACAAGTAATTCGAACGGTTGAATTGTAACGCGTTGACGCTATTATGGTGCGTTCACACTGGAAGCGGATCCGTAAACGCATAGCGGATCCGCGCGTTCTCACCCACAAAGCGGCTGGGATCGAGCAGTTGGAGCGCGTTTTTGCCAACCGCTTCGAGACCGATTTGCCCTAACCGCTTTCGCGAACCGCGAAACGACGACCAATCGCAACGCGACGCTGACGTGACGTCAGCGACTTTCGAAACAAGATGGCGCCTGTCGCTGGTGAGGCGTTCAAGGCGCTGTAGTCCTAGCGTTACAGCAGACAAATCAACGGAAAAACGCGATGTTCACGTCCCTCACTTAAATCCGCCGCGAAAAGAATGGACTCGTCATCTTAACGGGCTTCGCACCGGTGACTTGGTTCGGGTATGAACTGCGGTTCAATGACACTTGGCGCCGCCGTGTAGCTCCGACCGATCGCGATTCAGTCAACTGTTGTTGGCTTGATGATAGTTAAGAGCGGTAGTTTCACTGGGGTATATTTTACACTAATCTTCATTGCAACTCAACAGTACCCTACCTCCTCAGTGACCATAAACTGACCGCAGGAAGTCATACGACTGTCGAAACCTTTTGGGAAGTACGTGCTCTGCGGTCAACGCGTAAGACTCCCCGTTAACTGTCTTTCCTTCTTACTCTGACCCTTGTATATTAACGTAACGCGATTTGTTGTTCAAAGCATTCTCCTCACCAGCGTCTTTAATCAAAAATGAGATAATGCAGCTATGAAGGGAAATTCTGGGAGAGAAAGAGGGAAGCGCGCCTGCAATCATGGCGTCACCAGAGCGCACGTGATGTCGTCAGTGACCGGGCCTTGACTCAAAAATGGCTTTCTGCAGCCAGGGTGTGAGAGGCTGAAGAGGTATAATCGCGTTACTTATCCATTTTCAGATGCTTTAGTTTTTAAGTGTTACAAAGTCGCACCTCAGTGAGCATCCAACAAGCTGCTTATTTTTTCACAGCGAGGAACGTCCACGGTTTCTGATTTCAACGTGTAGTTTCTCTTGGTTTCTCTCTTGTGTACAGTACTCTCGGTTCCTTAATTCAGATTATAAGGTTCTTAATTCTTCGTGTTCATCGCAGTCAAGGATATATTGATGCACGACAATGCACTCTTTCTAACCCTCGGTGATGCAGTAACCGGGTGGTGCTTTGGTAATCAGCGTCTGTATCCCGCGTCCTGTGGCATTGATGCTGTAGTATCCCAGTTCTCCGTTGCCACCAGTCCCAGGAGTACAATTCCCTTCCTTGACGGCGGTGATTCCACCGGCGCAAGGCACTGACGTGAAGCGACAGTTGACGTTCGTGATTGACGCTTCATAGTAGAAGCCTGCGTGGCCATGGTCACAAAGGGAGTCTGCAATCGCATGAGTACAAGAATTAATAACGAAAGGGAAGTGTTTCTCAGAACACCGCATGTTTCGAGGTAATTCTGTCACATTTAGCTGCGTGCTTATGGGCTCGGGGGACCATGGATGAGGTGATAGTTGTCAATATAAATTGACTTCAATTGGCTAATCTTAAATTGGCCAATGCCTGACATTTGTTTATTTACTTTTGAAATCATGGGTTAATGGTTCTCTTTGCAATTGCAGTTTTAAATGGTGAGCAGTACAGCGCACAAAAAGACAGACAGAGAAAAGGAACATCATAACACACAAGCGCTGGCTAAGCTTGCCACACTTCTGGAGTTTTAAGGGAAGTTAGCACTAAAGGCTAGGACCAATACACACAATTAGCGTAAATATAATTAAATTGCAGAGATGTCCAACAATCAGTTTTTTGCATTTATGTTAAATGGTTTCGGAACTGGAGGCAGAGAAAGCGCCGGAAACCACGTCCATGATAACCCGCTCGGTAGCTCCGAGGAAAAGCGGCGCACCACAGAACCCTCAATGGCAGGTTCAAATCCCGGTCGAGGCGGCCGTAGCCTGACGGAAAATTATCGCGGAGAGGGTGCTGTGTAACCGAGATTTTGCTCGCACGTCCAAAGATCCCAAGTGATCGTAATTAGCCACTAGTCTTGCGCTGGGGCATGTCGGTAGCCCTTCCTTGGTTTTGCACGTCATACCCCCAAATATGACCTTGACCCGTTCATAACGATCCGTGGAAGAGCAAAAACACTCATTTTCGTCGTTTCGTCATTTATCCCGGCAGCTCGACGTCGGCGCATCCGTCAATGACATATTGCCGAGATAAGGACGATCTACGCGAAACAACTAGGTCACATTTTCATGAGTCGTTGTGAATGGAAGTTCCGGCGCTCTTTCTGCATCTAGTTACAAAATCGGCCAATACCTGATCGATGAATATCTTGTAGCCTGTTGGCATTTCGCAAACTGTTCACGCTCCTGAGGGCTGTTATTAATACCTCAAGTGCCACGTATTTCACACAATTAATATTAAAATGTTAATGGGCAGATTTTAGTTAGCACCCTTACCCGCATTTAATATCCGGTTATTGTGATCAAATATATCATGAAAACGGCACACACATAATTCTCACCCTTTTTGAAAAAAAAAATCGAATTAGAATCTAACATTTAATATAAAAATCCTCACTCCTGTTTGTTTGTGTATCCTTACAATTTAACTAAAACCTTCCGCGAAAAAAGAAGTGATAAACGAGATTTCATTCAGCTTATAGTTCGCATTTATTGATACAGCTTCCGATACTCGTAGCTAGCTGTGCATAATTTTGAAAATGCAAACTTCCGATAAATAAGGGACGTATAAATGGTCATGACTTATAGTCACTGATAGATTAAAAGACGAGGGACGTGGCTCATTACATTCGTGCATCTTTCTTCGTGGCTCGTTCTTATAGAAGTTATTATTGGCTAACTCCGCAACCACCTCATTCGCTGAAAAACAACAATAAGATGCTCGGCAATCTTTCCTGCCTTGCGTTTATTGAGCTGAGGATTACCACATATAGCAAGAAAACCATTCGGAAACTCTGTCTTTCTTAGTTAGATATATGAATTGCGTGTTTTGGAAGTTCTGATATGTTTGCACCTGTTTCTATGTGAATTTCCCGGTGTCAGTTTATGTATAAATATACTCGGCCCCTGCGTAATCCGCGAGCGTCCGGAGGGAAAGTGCAAGGGGGTGGGGGAGGTATTGATATTTGACAACGAGAAGTTTCGGTAGCCTTCTATTAGGCCGTGATCACACTGCTGGTGCATCAAACAAAAGACAGTCTGCTAACACTGTCTTAGGCGTGTTTCCTTTTTGATGACGATCACGTTGGCCACACAAAAATGTGTGCAGACCACGTCTTTTCTAAGATGTATGAGCTGTGCGACTCTGGCTTTATTGATCCAACGAAAATTCTGCGGACGCCCGTGGCCTCATCTCTCATTCGCTTTCATGCTCATTTATTTTTCGATCGTTTTTTTTAGAAACGTCGTAGAATAGGACGATCGGCATTTTCAAATTATGAAAACATTTCATTTGCCCGAGATCAGAAATAACGCTGACTTACTGGGCAGGAGACAGCCTGGCTGCCTCTTGGCGTAGTTTGGGTAGAAGTCGACGTGCCCTATTGGTTCAAACATGCCAATCTCTCTGAGGGGGTACGAGGCGCCCCCCGTAGTGTGGACGGCGTCCACAAACGTTGCGTCTTTGTACGATACGAAAACCCCGGTGTCTTCGAACAAAGGTGCTGCGGGCTCGTTAGCTAGCGAAGAAAATATTAACATAGCATGAAAATCAGATCCCCAATCAAGACACTCTCGGATAAAAACATTGTAGGCCGATCTATGGGCTACACTTGTCCCCGCTGAAGTTGCCCTACGTTCCAGAAATAGAGTTACCGTCGGCAGGGAGTCACAGTTTCTAAACATACAAAGAGCGCAGCAACAAAATTTTTCGAACTGCCTTGCTGTTGGAAAATACCCTGGGATAAAAATTGCACACAAAGCAAGAAAAAAAAAGCGCGAATAATTATTTTTTTAATGTAAAATTTATTATAGCCCATTGCAACCTAAGAACAAAGGGCGAGGGTATGACGGGCCGGGCAGGAGGAAGCAGACGGAACGCTAAAGCGAAAAGGAGGTTTCCCCGTCTCCTCTCCAGCGTTCCGTGTGCTTCCTCCTCCCCGGCCCCTCTTACCCTCGCCCTTCGTTCTTAGGTTGCAACCGACTATAGATTACTTTCGAAAGTGCGTCTTTTGTTGGAAGCTGTAGAATTCCTGTACAATGGTGAACACAAGTGCGAGCTTCTTTGCTTCGAATGCGTCCCGGCTCACGAGCCGTCGTGAGCCGGGACGCGTTCGAAGCTACCCTCTCGCGCTACTTCCACGTTCAGCGGTGTCGGTGTTGTTCCACCATTGTGCAGCCGATCGGAGTTCTTGTGAATCGGCACGTGACTTTCAAAAGGTGTCTATTCGTAGAAATTAAACACACATTAGAAATATATGGTGTACAACGCGATTAAAACAAAATGCCCTCAAGGTGGTTCATTTCTCGCGATCACACGGCATGATACGCCACATTGGCGTGACACTGCAGCCTTAGCTATAGATGTCTATGGCTGACTTTTATTTATCGCTTAGCTTCGCCGCAGTACCAATATAGGAACACACGGGTCACAACCGTGAACACGTTGTCATCACCAACATGTATCTCCGAATTAAAGTTTACAAGTTTTCAAAGACCACAAAAACCTGCACAAAAAAAAAAAGAAGAAAAAAAAAGAAGGGAATCAGGGAAAGAGGACGTTAACATGGCGCATCTATTTGTGCAAGTGTGGCGTTTTCAAAATTTCACTCCCTCGAGGTTCATTACACCGCGAACAGGATGAAAGATTTCCCGACCACCCGAAGCAAACGAGGGTTGATAACACCACTTGGAATGGTAGGTCAGAGGGTGAGCTGCAGCTCACTTTCGTAGGGGACGGGTTTCCCAACAAAGTGGCTCAGCACAGTGAATATAGACGCTTCGCACACGCGCCAGATTACAACCGCCATTGCTGACCTTCTCTTGTCTCATTGAGATATCAAGCCACCGAGCGGGGCTTTGACTAACCCTCCTCAACTGCCAGTGCTGGGGGAAGGACACAGTCGAATCTAAAATGGCAATAACCTGTCCTGCTGTGGTAATGATAGAGCGAAGTGACCAAAATAAGAGAAAATATCAACTGAAGGTCGGTTATGGTGGCGCCCATACACAGCTGCTACAAAGCGTCTAGTTTACGAACAAGATGGGCACCTATCACAAACATTAAAGGTCACAAGTAATTGTCTCCTGTGAAGGAGGCTGGTACCCTACTATGCGCTTCATATTAATTATGAAGTCAAGATAGGAGGCTTTGAGCCGGTAGCGTATTCGAAAAATCTTGTGGAGTAGGTCAACTGGTCAAATTCGGCACTTTCATGGGCGCGTCTTCATAGACGTCATGTCGCCCGGTTTACGATAGGAAAGGTTTAGGTAAACCCTGTTGGGTGATTCAAGCACTAGCCTTTAGCCGGTTCCCAGATCTGCTTACCCAACAAAAGTAAGCGAATTTGGGAGCCAGCTGAATGCTACTCGTGAATCACTGAAACGTGTTTACCCTTCACCCCCCCCCCCCCCCCCCCCTTCCCAATCTTCTCTCTCCTGCCGTAAACCAGACGATGTGACCATCAGAGTGCCGAATTCGGCCATTTGAGTTAGTCCTCAAGCTTTTTTCTTAATGCGCGAGCCGGTAGCGGTAAAAAAAGGCCTATCTCAGCAGTACGTCACGTGACCGCTTGATGTTAAATCTTGAGTCACCGCAGATGGTAGTTATACACGTCGATAAAATAGGCGAACTTTTGTACTGAATTGTTTCTATATTCTAAGGCTTTCATTTACTGCGTCCTGAGCAACAACGCCGTGTTGTTGAAACTGAAACCTAAACTTTGCAGGCAACAACTCCTGTAACTTGCATTCTGGATGTAAGTGCGCACACCCGTTCGATACAGAAACGCACTTAAATGGGCGAGACTCTTTACTGTTCATGCCTAATTAAATCTTCAAAGTGCCCTGAAGAGATTTTTAAGATCGCTTAAATTTGATGATAACCCACTCTGCGGGCTTTGAGCATCCTAAAAATCCATAAATCATAACGATGCGCCGTCAACTTCACTATTTAAAAAAAAAGAAAGAAATCTGTGATCGAAATTATCTCCGGCGATGGAAGGAACATTGTGCAGGCAGCCAGGACGACATGTAACTAATGAGAACGCGACATTTTGTTGAGATTGCAAACGCTGTTATTACAAAATTTTTATACTTTTTATCGGTGATAAAAGCAAGTGAGAGTAGTCGAAAAATTATAATTTTTCGACTACGCTTACTTGCTTTCTTTTATCATGTCCATTTTTCGCGGAGAAGGAGCACAATACCACAATAATTGTCTCAAAACCAACAAACTATAATTTTGCTGTTGTTGTTGTTTTGTTGTTTGTTTTTGCTTGTTGTTCGTTGTTGTTTGTCGCAGCTTGTTGTTGTTGCTGTTGTTTTTTTTCTGCGGGGGTGCAGTCCGGTCGTCAGCTCTAGAGCGCTCGATCGCGCGCTCGCTGGGTTGAATCGGCAACGAGCCGCGCGCATTCGAGATATCACTCCGCGGTTCCACCGGTCGGAGACGCGAGGTTCCTTCGCTCGCTATTGGCTGACAGTGGTCCTGGTTTGGGAACAAGCTCCTCCCATCGCCGGAGACGAAATTGGTGGGTTATGATCTTTCATTGTTTTTTTGTTTTGTTTTTTAATAGGGAAATTGGTCGCATATCGTCGTGATTTAGGGATTTCTATAGGATGCTTAGAGCCAGCCTAGTGAGTTATCGCCGTATTTAGACGATTTGAGAAACCTTCTCAGGGCTGCTTTAAGTTTATTAGGAACGTTACCAAAGTTATTAGAAAACACGTGATTTTAGTGGCGTTGTCGTTCATATGGTGGCCTCCAGTGGCGCCGTTATTCCACCGACGTGGATTTTTAAATCAGAATAGTAAATAGGCGGTGCATTATTTCGCTCGCATTATTTGGAAATGGCGTGCTTTTATGGCTCACTAATGTCACAAAGCCTAAAGCTGTGTGTTTCAACATTTTACGACTCTTTTAAGAAGAAGGTATTGGTGATCTTGAAATCAACCTTCATAATAAAAGCACTGCCGGACGCCGACTGACCTGAGATTCTCCCTATCATCTGTCCAGTGCATTTTTTGAAGTGCTTTCCGAAGAACCCTGGAACTTGGCCTCCTAAACTGTTGCCAATAGCATGTACATCCGAAGCATTCACCGTGTCCGGGAAGACACTCATGAGGTTCATTACGAGCAGAGACATCTGTCTCCCCACGAGGGCAGTGTCTCCGGCAGCCTGGATGTAGTTTAAGTTGAAAGAGCCTCCAGTCCAGTCGACAAGGATCACATTCACGTCTTCCTGGAACGATACAAAAAGTCAGTTTCAATTGCAACTTTTGCTTTTGCTAATGAAAACAAAATGGTATAACTGATGATGACCGAATGATAAGTCACAGGGTACGATGCAAATGCTAAGTCTTCCATACCAAATCTCCACCGTAAATACAAAAAGGATACACGAACTGCTGTGGCGGCGCCACTATCGCGTTACATGGCTATAAAAAAGAAAAAAAGAATCATAAAAGTAAGAGTTATTCACCGGTACTGGAGGAGAGTGTTACTTCAGCTGCTTCGGCAGCAACACAAGAGTGGCGACGAGAAGGCCAAATCATGACACTCGCGGTGCCACCCCCATTCCTCCTTTTTTCCGGAAAACCTGCTCTTCCGTGGAAGCAGAGGCAACGTGTGTTTAAAAACTACTTGCTTGCTGCGGGAGGTGACGCCCACGAACCTGCTCAGAGGAAGGCCCTACTCCTTCATAGTCTCGCGGTCGAGGGCCAACAATTCTTTAACATCCTTCCGGAGACGCGCCCCTCCCCGGTACCGGGACTGCGTGAACCACCTGAAGGCCAAAAGACATCCACTGCACCCGACGGATACGATGTCGCTCTGCGGTCCTGGAGATCTACTTAGCGGTGACTTCAAACGTGGCCGTCGCACGACATCGCTTTGGGCAGCGAGCGCAGCAATCCATCGATGCATTTGTTGCCGAACTACCGGACATGTTGTCAAACTGCGAGTTCGTGTTCATGGTGGACGAGTTCATCCGAGACCAGCCGGTCGCAAAGAAGTCGGTCGACCCATCAGCTAAGATGAAGGCAGCTCCTGGGTGTACGTGTCACACACTGGACGGTGCATTGGTCATTGGCCGTCTGGTCGAAGAAACCGTCGGCTACTGCAAGGATCTCGCATCGACTTCAGCGCTGCAAAAGGTAGACGCTAAACTTACGCGGAGCACCGATTGACCACCGCGGCCACGGGAAGGTGAACCTTCGTGTTCCTCCGGAAAAATAAAATGGGACCGTTGCGGGTCATCATGCCACCTTGCGAATTTCGCTACATGTAAAGCAAGAGGAAACACGTGCACCTCATGTGGAAAGGTCTGACATTTCCGTGCTGTCTGCTCGAGTACCCCCGGCCGCGTTAACGGAGGCCGCGTCATCGCAGAAGCTGCCTGCTTGAATATTTGCGAGGGTGACGCCCTCAGTGTTCTTCAGGTACACAAAAATTCGAAAAGTGGTATTTATATTTCTGTCCATGTCGAGGGAGCGATGTTATCAATTTTGGTCGACACCGGGTCAGCAGTTTCGACAAACTCCGAAGATACGTATCAGAAGAATTTTGGTTCCTCACTTCGGCTGCAGGACTCGGCTGGAAATTTGTTAAAGTTTTGACGGCGGAAGGTTGCAGTGTCGGTGTGTTTTATTGCCGCGGTCATTTACAAGGGACGAAAGGCTGGCGTGCGTTTTTATGTCGTACCGAAAGGTACGAACACAGTTGGAATCGACGCCGCCGCTTGCCTGTCCCTCAAAATCAACGGTCAGGCACTGAAGTGTTTCAACAATGCGTGCGTGCAATATGCTCCATCTGCTCCATGCAGACACTCGGAATCAACATTGTGGGACAACGATTGCCGGCATGCCATAACGCTAATTGACTATTTCAGCAAGTGGGTGTGCCTGAGGAGTCTGGTGACTTCGGGGAAGATAATTGCTTTTTTGCGGACGCTGTTTAGTTGTGAGGACTACACTTCCTCTGAACTGGTCAGTGTTCAGGGTCCTTTCTGTGGCTACTGAGTTTGAAGTGTTCTTGAAATAGCGGAGAGTGAAGCACACGTTTTCCCCTGTGTATCATCCTCAGAGCAACGACCGAATTGAGCGTTTTCTTAACTAGGTTCCTGCTGACTCTGCTCTCTATGTGCGGGCACATCTTTCTGTAACGTTCTGCCTGCACTGTCGGCCTCTTCCTTGTCGTAGATGCCGACGTGTATCGACAGCCGTCCGATTTGTATGATGCGTCCTTTACCTACGAGGTGTTGACCTAGCTCTCAGAACTGCCGGACGGCGTTGTTGCAAGCGCCGAGTCCGTCGCCCTCTGCGTGCGCATCCCAACTGTCCGTAAAGACCCACACGTGTCTGTGGATAGCTTGTGTCTTTTAGCGCCGTGTCACCGCATGTTCCGCTTCCGCAAGAATAGCTTCTATCTCATCTTCTTGAGACTACGTTCGCCTTGATGTGACTGATCGTGTGCTTCCTGGTTATTGAGCGTGAACATTTAGTTGCCTCCTGCCCGTCTCCGATCAAAGCAGCATTCTACCTACAGGCTGTAAGCTCGCTGTTTTAATCTTGGACGATTTTGATGTCTCCCTTGTCTATTTGACCCGCCGTACTTCGTAGCCCTTTCCCATATTGCGAACCAAAGGGGGAAATGGGGTAAACGGAACGGTTACCTCTTCGAGCCTTCTGTGTGGGAGCGTCGGGAGAAGATCTGTTGCGTACTTGATGTATCGCAGTATGACTCTACCTGCTTTTGTGATCTTGAGCTGGACCAGTTGTATGTCTATGAGTGCGTCTGCTATATACGATCTTACGTCCTGATCGAAGATTAGTCCGAGGATTCTCGAGCGTTGTGGTATCTTTGTGCTTTGTTCCTTCATGGCCAGACGTACGTTCTGGGTTACAGTCTTTGCGTGTATGAATCGGTTTCACACCATGATTTACATGGAATTTCTCGCAGCTACCGTCACGTCCACGAAGTCTAGAAACTTTCTGACGGTGTCCAGTGCCTCCTAGACGTACCTGCTTTATCTTCCAATTACTCCGCTTACGGTCCGGATTGAGGCGAGAGTAACCCCGTTGGTTTCCTCTGGGCTCTCTGTTTTCCACACTCATGGAGTTAATATAATAATCTAGAGAAAAAGGTACCGTGCATTGGGGTCGTTTGGGAACGGTGGGTCATAGACACGGACATCGGCGGTATTGGTTGGCGGCCCAGATGGGCCCATGTCGCTGGCGACACTTTAATATGCACAAAGAACAACAAAGCATCACCTGTAAGGTCTGTACCTTGTTCATTTCTAGCTTACTCTGCAGGAAAACACCGGAGTCGCGCACTGCATAAAAATAAATTAAGTTGGCAAGCGTTCAAGCAACTTCAAATCGTCGCAGCAAAACTAACACGTCTAACCTTTCGTCTGCTTTCTTTCTCCGCTATTCTGTGACTATCTTTCTTGTTCTTTCTCTCAGGACCGCTGATGTCAGCGCCCAGAATATGGCGCGTTCTGATACCGTCGTTACTCCCCTGTTCACACCTTGATTGTGAATGTTTGTCTCTGTAGAAAGGATACGAAGAAGTTGCGTAGCGCTCATTGGATTCCGTGAGTGATTGATCTGTCGATGGCTGCCTTGGGTGGTAGGAAATCAAAATCCTTCTTAAAGTCAATTCCTACAACGATGCGTGAATCCACCTTCTAGACTGTGTCTAGGGCGTGTTTGCAAATCATAAAAAGGCAATCAGGGGTCCCCCGGTGTCTTCGAAGGCTTGTTAGTGAGTGTTATAACGTGTCTTTGTTCTAAAGTGTATGGTGAATTCTACTGCAGCTTCATTCTAACCGTGAGTTTGCGTAAGTTGGAGGTCAGTTAAATTGGTCTCATATCAGGGTGCGTTGTTGTGAGCTTGCCTGGGTTAGAATTTTAGATTATATCTACCACATCTTCAACTTTTCTGAGACTTGACCATTGCTCCAGGTGTACTTGTTTTTTCGTTATCACACCAGAAAAAAAAACACACAAACAAAAAAACATTCCTTTCGGTTTAGCATTAGTGATCGAGCCATCTGCCAAAGATATAACTTAACTTTATCCTGTAACAGCCAGCTTAGACATGATTTCACTTGAACCACGACAAAAATCTTACCCCAGCAGCGTCTGTTCTTTTTTCTTAGCATCTACAGATCTGCTCCCGGTGGCGTCTGTTGGCGCCATATTGAGGTAAGGATAAAAAACATTACATTTATTTGATCATCTCACACATTGGGGGACCGTGAGCGGTGAAGGCCACAATAACAAGATATCAGGGTCATAATGATTTGCAGGTTACGGGGACGTCTCCCCTAGAAACGTCACGTGAACAGCACTTCCTGCGCTTTTTGTCCGTCCAGTTTCGGAGTCAGAGTTGAGAAGGGGAAAGAAATTGTCGATAACTATCTCCAAGAGGGTTCTTGTTTTACGATTGCCTAAACTAATTTAAACCTTCACGGCGGCTGCATGAAAAATGCAAATTGTAACATAAACCATGAAGTCAGTACTTCAATAAAGTTAATTAAAGTATTTTAGTTAATTGCTACAAAGGCTGTTATGGCTATTCGCCCCTCTAATATCTGCCTATCTCAAGAAGAGAATACCGAACACTGCTTCTACTTTGCGGTTAGCCAACTTTAATACAAAACAAAAGTGTGTTCAGAATAAAAATAATTGTCCTGTATAATGATTTTGCACTTGAGGGAATCTACAATAAAGAAATAAATAAGTGGAGTTTATGTTATACAGTCAAACCCGTTTATATCAAACTCGCAAAAAACGTCTACCCGTTCGATATAGCGGGTAATTCGATATAAAAATTTTAATGAATTTGACGCTCAGAAATCCAATTTCTGCTGACATATTACACAATGAAATAGTCTTGCATCTTCTGCTGCTTTTTCTTCATTGCATCCGCGATAACGATATTTTTGTACGCTATTGACGAACTCCAAAATGCTGAGGCCGGTGCCTTCTTTATTCGCGCATTAGCGCCCAACTATGCGGAGGGCACGGAGCACGTCCGAGCAAAAGCACCTTCTCTGCAGAGCGCCGTTTTTCTCTGCAAGTTGGCTTTCCCCTTAGACGACAATGCGTTGGGGGAAAGCCAGCTTGCAAAGCAAAACGGTGCTTTTGGCAGTTTGATATATTGGTAGCGGCTGCTATTTTTTTCGATGTAACAGTAGCTTTCGCTATATATTATCAATGTACCGATTACTGTCCACAAAACTTAATCAATATAATGGATAATCTGATGTAAACGGGTTAGATATAGTCGGGTTTGACTTATTAAAAGCATTTTGTCATGGGTGCCCCCCCCCCCCCCCCCCCCAAAACAAAATCCTGGCTACGGGCCTGCTGTCGTTGCTGCAAGGAATGGACGAAAGCATTGTTTAAAATTTGTTTTCTAGAATTGCCGAACCTGCTTTTGGGGTATCTACCCCTGTTACCCGAGAATAATAAATAACTAACAAGAGAAGAATCATCGTTGGAGATTCAGCAGCTCCTCTGCTTAACTCCTTGGTATGTTATTCTATCAATGGGGCATCGGTTGCATCCATGTGCGCGAAAGTTGCAGCAAGCACCGTCGAAAGGCTTAGATCGACATTTGTGAACACGGATGCATGCCCACCTTTTCAAGCAGCGCTCTTATTGCTGGCAGAGGCTGGGAGGTGGGGCCCAACCAGCCAGGCACAAATATTTTAAGCGGTTTTCTTTCTTTAAACTGATTTAATGCCTCGTCCACCGATCCGGGCTTGTAATCCAGGAGAACCGGCGATTTCGTGTTGCTTCGGGAATATAACTGAAATTGGGTGTTCACTGTCTCCGGGCTGCTCGGAAAAGACACGGGCACAGTCAGCCCGTCTGTGGCCGAGAAACACCCAACATATTCATAACACAGCACGTCGCCGCTGGTGTCGACTATCTGAAATAACAAAAACATATTGTGATCTTATCTAAAACAACTATCTTTTATAGCGGGCGATGGGTGAAGTGGCAATAGTTAAAGTTCGCCAACAGAGTAGACGTACTTTAACATCTGCCACTTCCACTTCCGCTTTAACCATTGCTACTTCTCATGCTCCTATCGCTTCTATCGAGCGATAGGAGCACGAGAAGGAATTAAAACTAACAAAAAAACGGACACTTTAGAAACATTGTCCCCGACTCAATAAAAAGTTAGTTCTCCAGACGAAATCGTAGATATACAAGGTACCATAGAAAAAAAAAAGAAACCCAACAAACTTTTGAATGAAAGAAGCCTTAAACGTTTCTGACCAATCTTTGGTTACCTCTTTGAAGATTCCGACGCTCTTTCACTCTTAAAGGGACACTGACAGAGTGCTTATGCTCGCCAAGGTTTTTATTTGTACATGAGACATGAGAGCTCAACTACCCAAAACACAATTTGCGACTCGAAATTCGTTTTCTTTCTGCCCGGAAACCGCCGATCGAGAACTGGCCGGTTTGAGTAGTGCTCACTTTCTTCTCCGTGATCACGTGCCAAACTTTAGAAACAACCACCAAAGATAACCAAAGTCGTGGGTCATCGAAGGCACACACTCAATACTAGAAATTGACAAAAAATATGATACACTTTTTTTGTGACTTTTAAAAAACTGAAACTGATTGAAAAAACTGATTGAAAAAAAAAAAAGAACAGTTGCACAGCCACGTGATTTTTGGTATTTTTCTTCTCCCCTATATTTCTTCTACCTCCCCAGTCCAGTTTTGGTTTCGGTTTCCCGCAGTTGTGTTTTTTTACTTTATTACAAACAAATACGTGACACCGTAGAAAAATATTGATTGGGTAGTCTTCTGACACCATAATAAATCGCATGGCAAAAGAAAAGAAAAAAGAAAAAAGAAAGGGGGGTGTTAGTGTTTCTTTGAAAGAACCATCGAATGTAATATTTCCAACCTTCGGAAGAATCTTGTCCCATAAATCTCCAGGAAGGAGGGTTCTTAGGAACCCTGAGAGAGCCGCAGCAAAGCGGGTGGCTTTTCCTTCGGGCGTTTCTCCAGACCCGCAAATGACTCCTGGTCTCTGTGAAGGTACCAAATCCCGAGGAAAACGGTTGCCGCTATCAATAGCAGACAGGAGACTCGAATGTTTTTTGTACAGAGCTGTCACAATTAGGTTGCTTAAAGTTGCATCAGGACGTGAACATTGAAAAAATTCAGATGAATATTTTAGCGTGATCAGTATTATCGTGAAAAATAGCAGCGTCGAAGGAAAGCAGCGGCACCTTCTAGATAACAACCCAAGATCTATTCTGCCACGTAGTCGCGCGCAGCGAAGAGGGCTGCTTTGGACGCACCGAGATAACGGGTCCGCCGAGACAGCTGTCTTTACTGGCGTTTAACGGGATACTTCAACGAAATTCAAAATATACCCGTCATGTTCAAAAAATAGGTTGAACATGATCCACAATATCCGTAAATGACTAACGCACGTTTGTAATTTAAGCCTGATGGCTGTATATTTCGTTATCAACGGCCCACTCTGGCAAGCGCTCGGAGAGCAGCCAGCGGAGAGCACGTGACATCCCCCCTTAATCGTGACGTAGTTCGTCTCGGGATGAGGAAAGCTGAGGTGAGGCCGAGGTCGAGAGGATGTCGCAGTCGTTTCAGCCACCGAAGCGGCTGCTTTTGTAAGGGTTTTGAGTGACGGGTTACTCTTCTATAATCTTGCAGTTAGAGGCACAATAGCGAATTCTGGGGCACACAAAAGAGACTCTCGGGGAGAGGGGAGTTCCTCCTTCTACCTCCTCTCTCGTAGTGGCCGGATACGAGACTAATATCGTCACTACCTGTCAAGGTTCCTAGACGGGCATTACAAACGAGGTGTTAGCGACATCCACCAGGTGTTCTTTGCTAACCGTTTTATTTGTTTTAAAATTCCTTTTCGTGTTTTTGTTAACAGGATATTGGTGTGTCCGAGGTGATACTGTTCCTTTGAACACATATAGACCAAAGAATAAGCGCGGAAATTTCGTTGTTGTATCCCTTTAAGATGCCCACGCCGATATATGGCACCCTTCCAGTTCAAAGGAGAAAACACTAAAGCTGCGGCGCATTCATCCGTTTCAAATACGAAATTCCTATCCGTGCCATTGCCATTGCATATACGCGGTGTGAGATGTAATCCTGTAGTAAAGTACTTTGTACTATCGTGCAAAATGTAGCCTTTGGGCAATAGACAACGAGTAGCGTAGCATTGTTGGGTTCTTGACCCCAACTATAAGCTTGCAGGTGGGTCGGTTCATTTGCCTTGCGTGGTTCTTTGCCGTGTTCTCGTCCTTGCGCACTGTTCAATTTTCACCATATTCAATGTACACTAACCGGACTTCACAGCATTATTTTATTTGTGTGTATAATACGCGTTGCCCAGAACTCCAAATGGCTCTTCGTAAAGCGGAGGCGGAATGAAGTTGTCGAGATTCCTTGAAATGCGTCAACCAAACAGACGTCGTGAACACGTTATGATCAGCGAGCAATATTTAGTGAAGATGTGAGACAGGTTTTAATCTGTTGACGGTAAATTACAGGGGGAGTCTCACCAGCTGCGCTTCCAGCAACTGCAGCCTAAAGTTAATAAATATATAAATATATACTTTTTAGAGGTGAATAGATATTTTTATTTGTTCAATCTAATTTCATCTATCTATTATATAGGAAAAAAATAAGACAACTTGTACCTAATGTCTTTTAGACGTGAATAAAAGGGGAAGACATGCCCGCATGACATGTTCTCCTAAATAACTTCTAAACCTCTGCGGTAACCCTCGTTAATGCAAAAAAGTCCATTATACGTGTTTTTGTTTTCTTTTGCCAAGCTCTTTATTTATTTATTGTTAATATTTTTGTTTGCTGGACGGTTCTGCTGATCAAAGAGATAGGACGTAGAGTGGATGTTCATTATACTTTCTTTATCCTAATGGCCCAAATTGTACGAAGAAAATCGAACGTACCATTGGGAAACATCCGTTCAAGTTACCCACGGTTTCTGCCCTAGAGTAGGTACCAGCTGCTGCCAACAGGAAAACGGCTGCGGCAAGTTAAAAAAAAAAAGATTAATTACATAGTTCTCGCTTTATAGTGTACTTTCAATCTCTATTGCGTTGAAATGCCGGAACAAGCTTTTCCCTCGAAACTGCGTGTTAGGCCTGACACTTTGCATCCTTGAGAGAAATTATAGTGCCTTGCCGGAGGAAACTATGCCTACTGCGAACGAAAATACCTTCATGATCAATATCGTTTTTCCCCAGCAATGAGATGCGTAATAGATGCCGGAGGTTTAAGAATAAAACTTTAATGTAACATATTAATCGCCCTTTTTGCTGTATGACGCCACACTGTGGAGGGCCTGCCATAAATGACAATTTTTTTTTTAAAAAGCCTCGATGTTAATCTCTTTTAATCATTCAAATAATAATACTTTTTTTATGATGTTCTAGAATACTCAAAGTCACACTTCCTGATCCTCGAGAAGTGTAAAGTTTCCGCTTGATAAGCCTCGCGTTAAGATTGATATTCAGTCGCGACTGTTAAAACTAAAAGAGTAAGTTTTTTTTTTGTGTGTGTAATTTCAATTTTTTAGCGCGTACAACGAGCCACTTCTCTTATTTTTCTATCACCGTTACAAACAATTTTTTAACCGCAAATTTGATACGCCGTACTCACCAAATGCATGGTGCGGCATCATCGCCTGTTAGGAAGGGACACACCAGCGTGCCAGCACATCGATCGTTGAAATATGGCGAAAAAAAAAAAGCACTGGTATAGAGAAAGCGAATCTTGCTAACAGCTGCGTCAAGGTATATGTATAGATGGTAGCAAAGCTTCCATAGAAGCGCATAGGCGCAAAGATGGTGGCTCATAGGGCGCAGCGCCATTTCCGAGATGCGCGGCATTGTCATTAGTCATGCTCGCCTGTGACGTGTAGGAAGTGACGCTTTATTAAATACAAACACGAAATGCCGCCATTCTCTTATGAGTGTAACGTCACAATTGTTTTTGGTGCGAACTTTAAATGATTTTCGCCGGTGGCGGGAAATTGAAATGTTTTTTTTTTTTTTTTTAATGTTCTACATGCCTACGCAAGTACCGTGCTTTATACTTTGCTTCACGCGTCATAGCCTTGTTTGTATCAATCACTCCCATGTAATCTATCTTACAAAAGAACCAGTTTATTTATCAGTTCTGGGAACCACCAACAAGTTACTATCCTTTTCAACTAAGCAGGGTGTTACAGCACGCCTATGAAGGTATACTTATCGTTGTAACTATGGCTTGTTTGCCAAGAAAGACAAAACGGCACAAGCTTGGTTTACACAGTTTATTATATACAAACTGAGAGCACCACCACAGGACACTTAAATATAGAGATATGGTGCTGAAAACATAGTGAAAGGAGGTTTGAAACCTTCTATGCAGGCACTTAATAACCTTGCTTAATACTCTCAACAAGAGGTACGTTTACGCATTTATCTTGCACTGTTCACGTTGAGAGCTCGTAAATTGATTTGACCATATCAATCACAAGTGGAAGTGCGGGGCCATTGTATGTCTTTTGCATTTGAATGTCCACACGAATTAATGCTTCAAGAAATTGAAAATTGCGCTTGCCACAAACATATTGTGCTCCACAGCTTGACTGTCAATGCGAGCGCTAGGACGCAAGAGACTGCCACAAATTGACAGGAAAAAAAAGCATTAGAACAAGGTTGTGAATTTGCTCTGTTGCATATTGTTAGCGCCATACTGACTCACTGATATATCTTTCATCGCAGTTTGATCTGCTATTGTATACCTCAGACAACCAAACATTAATCCAGGTTTATATTTCAAGTCGTCACACTGCACAAGTACACATCGAAACCAAAGTTTGTTCTCACACACTCTTCGATCATGCACAGGGTTGCACAGCGTGTGTAGGGTGTCGGGGTGTCTACCAACCTGGAAAACCTAAAATTCTCAAGTAATTCGGATTATATTGAAAGGACAGGGTAATATCAAGGAAACCATAAAAAAGTTCCAAGTCAGTAAGAATGATAAGTGAAAGTGCAATGATAGTGATAGTGATAGTACTTTATTGCACTTAAAAGTTTGTGGTGCCGTTCGGTGTGCAGGTGAGGAGGGAAAGGCGTGCGCCCATACACATATTGTGCCCCTTTCACCAACCGGACGGCGCTATGAAGACTATTTTAGTTCTTATAAAAACTAGTCTAGACAAAAAAAAAACAAAAAAAAACACGTTTTTTCACGCACGCACGCGCGCACACACACACACACACACACACACGCACGCACGCACGCACGCACACACACACACACACACACAACACACACACACACACCGGCGATTATGCTATTGTCCGAGTAACTGTTCTACACAACTCGCGGATGTCGTCTCGGTTGCAGGGGATTGACTCCGTGAGGTGGTGTGGGAGTGACCTCCAAATTTCTGCAGCACGCATTAGGCACGATGTCTTGTGGCGCAAAGTTCGCGACAGTGGAGGTTGTAGTCGGCCAGTTCGCTTGTTGAGGCGAGGTGGGGAAGGCACGTCAGGGTGGCCAGCACCCATCATTAGGCAGAAGAGCCTGATCGAGGCTACGTCTCTGCGGTGTTGCAGAGTCCGCCACTGGGCGTACTGCAGGAGTCTGGTAGTGGAAATATCTCTGGCGGCAGTGTGGTGCGACGAGGGGGAATCTCGTCGGTACAGCGTAAGGGCTGCCCTCCGCTGTATGGACTCGAGAGATTTCTTATGCGTTGTTGAGGGGGGGTCCCAGATAGCCGAACAGAATTCCAGCTGCGGGAGTACCAGCGACGTGTATAGGTGCCTGAGTGGTGCGGCTGGCATGCCGCGCGTAATTTGGGTGACGAAACCCAGTGTCCGCCTCGCACGTGAAGCAGTTCCCTGGATGTGGCGACTAAAATCGAGGCGCTCATCGAATGCGACTCCGAGCAGTTTTGTGTGAGTGAATGAGAGAGTTCGGTGCCACCTATTGCAAGGGGTGGGGAGTGTGAGGGCTTAGCCAAGGACAGGCTGACTGTCATGCTAAGGCATTTTGTAGGGTTTAGTGGGAAGCTGTGTGTTACGGACCACCTGTAACAGGTATCGAGGTCGTTTTGAAGGGAGGTGACTGCGTCCTTAGAGATTCCTGGTTGTATCAGAGAGAGGTCGTCTGCGTACAGTATTGCCTTAGATTTCAGTCCATCGGTGATGTCGTTTATGTACAGCGAGAAAAGTGTAGGGCCAAGCACACTGCCCTGCGGCACACCGGCGAGCACAGTACAGGGTGACGAGAGATGACTGTGGAAGGCAACTCGCTGGGTTCGATTCCTGACAAAGTCCATTAGCCAGTTGGCCAAGGAACCCTCAATCCCCACTTTCTGGAGTTTTTTAGGGAGAAGTGCGTGGTCGATACGATCGAATGCTTTTGAAAAATCCAATTGTACTAGTTGGCAAGGGATGCGCTGGTCTAGGTGTGAGCTAAGCATGTGAACTGCTACTGCCAAGGCAGTGTCGCAGCTGCGTCCCCTTCGAAATCCGTGTTGTGCCTGATTTAGCAAGCCATTGTCCTCCAGGTGGTTCAGGATTTTTGTATTTACTATTCTTTCCAGTGTGCGGCTCACAACTGAAGTGGAGGCGATGGGGCGATACGAATCAATGTTGTTGGTGTCAAGTCCATTACCTTTGTGGATGGGTGTTATGATGGATCTCTTCCATTGAAGAGGTACGGTGCCAGAGTCGACTATGCGTTGAAACATGTGGATCAGGATGGGCTTGATCAGAGGGGCGGAGAGCTGGAGAAAAGCAGGATGCACTCGGTCTGGTCCAGGGTTCTGTGCTGGGCGAAGGGAGGACAGTGATTCTTCCAAGTCTTCTTCGGTAATGGATAGGGATGACAGAGAGGCTCCGGGTGGAGGGGACGACTCGGGATTAGCTGGGTGGGAGGGGGAGGCTTGGGGAGGTACGAGAGGCATTCGGGGTAGAGGGGAGGCGGAAGTCATCTGGGTAGACCAAATTGAGGTGAAGTGTTCACTAAACAAAGAGGCTATAGTGGGGGGGTTTGATACAAGTTTCTGGTTGTGTTTGAAGACTGGGTGGCCAGGTGAAGAGGACTTTCTTTGGGATTTGACGTAGGCCCAAAACAGCTTGGGCTCTTTGGCTGCTCGGGCTGCAATGCTGGTGACATACTCCTGATGAGATATGTGTACCAGCCTCTTTATGTCTTTTTGCAAACTTCTCGCTTCAACGTAGCTAGATGTACAGTGTCGCTTTCGAGCACGATTGAAGAGTAGGCGCTTTCGTCTTGCAAGTTTTACAATGTCTGTGGTGATCCACGGAGGCCTCTTTTTCTTCGAGGCTGGCGAGTGAGGAACGCATTCCGTCTGGATTGCAGTCATAAAGTCAGTCCAGAGCTCGTACATTTCGTGGGTAGAGGGTTCAGACAGCACCATCGACCAGGGGGCAAGGTGAAGGAGCGCGCGTAGATGGGAGAGATCCGTCTTTCCATACCGGTATATCATTTGGGTGAAATTTCGTTGGCGGGGGAGAGACGTGTAACATTCAATGTGTATAGCCTTGTGGTCGCAGCCGACCAGACTTTCCTGTGCGTAGCAGTCCAATACAAGGGTAGGGTTTGTAGTGAAACAAAGGTCAAGTTGTGACTCATTGCCGGCAGCTGACCGGTATGTGGGGTCGCTGCAGAGCTGGACGAGACCGGCAGTCTCTACCATCTCAAGGAGCTGCTGGGATGCTGGGTCAGCAGCTATAGGCGACGATAGGTCTCTCCAATCAATATGCACATTGAAGTCACCTAGTAGGTAAACACTTGCATAGGATGTGCCGAGTTCCAAAAGTCTGTCGATAGAAGTCTGGAGAGAACCAAAGCTCGAGGAGTGCGTGTTTGGGGCTATGTAAACACAGGCCAGAAGGAACTTGCTGCGGGGAGTCCGCAATTCTACGAAGACAGCCTCAAGGTTATCCTGCTCCAGGTCGGCTCGGCGCCGACAGATGATATGAGATGGGGCGAGCACCATGACTCCGCCCCCACGGGAGGTAGAGCGGTCTTTGCGAAAGATCTGGTAACGGGTAGTGTCGGCAATTTGGCCGTCGCGTGTCGTTTCATCTAACCACGTTTCAGTGAGGGCGAACACTGTGTCGTCTGTGGACTCGAGCATGGTGTAAAGTTCAGGCAGCTTGTTTTTAATTGAACGCACGTTAGAGTACCAAAAGTTTAGGTGCGTTGCACGCTCTCTTCGTGGCGTGGACGGGCTGCGGTCATTTGTTCGTGGGTTCCGAGGTGTAGTAGATAAGGGAGCTGCGGGGGACTGTTGGGCTACTGTTACGAATAGCTCGTCCTCAAAGCGCGGGAGCTGGCATGTGCCGCAATACCATTCCTCGGGAGATGAGGAGAGACGGCGGTAGGCCGAAAGCGGGAGGTACTCGCATTTTCGGTGCACCCAGAGTTGACACTTGTCGCACTGTAGTGCGGCCGTGTTGCCCTTGACGGCCCGGGCGCAACGAGGGCACGAATGCCTTGGTCCGGGGTTTAGGGAGATGTCTCCGGCAGCAAGTAAGAGCCAGACGACGTGCGGTCGGGCGGACGTGAGGTGCGGGCTTTTAGGCCTAGTGGCACTTGAGGCTACGGCGTAACCGACGGTGGTGCCGACGTTACACAGG